ACAGGAATGGGTGTATATTTAGGTCTGTGTAGTAAAGTAATGTTATCTGGAGATAGTCCAGTCATCTGTATGTAAATAGGAAGAAATGGGTGTTTCTAGGGACTTTTAAAATGTGAAACTAACATGTTTCTCATGGAATCACACAGCCTCAGCCAGGAGCCCGCACAATGCAGCATTTGTTGTGAGTTGCACATGGAGCCCGAAAGTTCTGGCAGTGCTGACTCCTTCGGTTTGTTTTCCCACAGGTTTTCTGGGGTCACTGCATCAACGCCTTGGTCCACTCCCTCATCCTCTTCTGGTTTCCCATGAAAGCCCTGGAACATGGTAATAACTTCATGACTTCCACTGTCAGCAGTAGCTCTGCAGTCCCCCTGCCACCAGCACGTCCATGAGTTTTCCCAGTTCTGCTCATCAAGAGGCCTAAGAATGCATTTTAGAAGAAAATGTACCTAAAATCAAATGAGAGCTGGCCCCAGATTTGCAGCATGTATTTTTCCTCAGTCTGGCATTAATAAGCTGATTTGGATGACTGGATGGTTTTTTGGTTGACTGGATGGTTGAAATAGTAGGACTTGTAACCATGGCTTATAGCTATTTGACTCGTTGAGAAGAAGAGAGCTATACTGTCAGGAAACACAGATGCCTCTTGCCCTTGAGCTTAAAAGTTTTTGTAATCATTTGAGCTTTCTTTTCCCTAAGATTTCCATATCTATATACAGAACACTTAATGTTGTAAGTTCAGTCTCGTTTACTTGTGTTAAGGGTCTCCTTTTCTTCACACATGACTTTTGAAGGTATAATGTGTTTGAGGACCACTTCTCCAGATTTGACTGCATTCCTTTTCCAACAGGCATGTGGAGATGAGTGGGAACGTGACAAGTTAGTTGCTCACACTTCTTAACATATCCAACGATGTGGCCATCATGTCAAGGGAAATATCTTAAGTCTCAAAAAAGTGAACATGCATCTTGTGTATGCTACTCTGTCATGCCTATCAAATAGTAGTAATCCTCCTGGGGAAAAATACAGCAAATATTTACTAGACAGGGCCTTTAGTTATTCAAAGAACTAAAGAACATGAAGTTTCCAAGAATCTTTGTTTCTGTCAGTGTGTTCTATGCTTTATACAGAAATGATTCATCCTTCACTGATATTCTTTAACCTATTAAACACTAACAGGAAAATGTGCATACATTGTTGTGCTCTCTGACCTATTCTTTCAATTTCATCAAAAATCCTTTTCTTTCAAAGGTCCTGGAGTCATGA